AGTTCAAACTTACTTAATCCGTACTTACTTAAGCATCGGAGAGCCTTCGGCCGGTACCACACCGGTGCCCTAGGATTACCGTGTGTTTGCTTTCTTACAGATCGCACACCCTACCGAGGACATCAGATACCGAAGAGACCTAATCACTAAGTTACGCGGGAAAGTATTAAACCATTTTTCTGCGTCAACAGGGATGTATGTGGAAACTCATTTGTTCAATCCGCCTTCTGTTTCGCTAGCAATGAGCTTCAGAAATATCGGAGAGAAAGCAGGATTTGCTTGGAAGAGATTTAAGTCAATGCTCCCTTTGAGAAGTGGAGCTCAGGTCAGCAGTGAAGAAGGGGATAGGACTTCTGGTTTTGGATTGAAGAATAGGATGCCAAATTTTTCGGGTTTGAAGAATCCTGGTATGGGTTTGGGAAAATGGGTTCCTCATTTGTATGTAAATACCAGTGACTACATCTGCTGTTCTTATACTGAGCATGATGGAGAAGTAAACAATGCTAACAAGGAGAACGTGCGTCCAACAAATGGTCAAGTAGCAGCAAAGCTGTTTGTGATGTCAAAGGGAAACCAGAAGTTTTCGGAGGCTCACGGATTAGAGCAATGGTGGTCTGATGATTTGGAACTTCAACTGGCTATGCATAACAGTAAGCTCATTAGCAGGCAGCTGAAATCCTTGTATAGCCTTCCAGCTCCACAACAAACACTTGCTAGATAACAAAGGCCCTCTTGTTTTCTTTCTTTCTTAAATAACTCGTTTTCGACTTGGGCCTTCCATACTGTCATGTTTTTATACTTTGTCCATCAGTTCATAATGGCTATTGCCTTTGCTCATCGTTGTTTGTCACCTGTGTTTATTGTCATTTTCATTTGTTCAAGTGCTCTAAATTTTCCAAAGATATCTGAAAAAGCTTTACAATTTTTCTTCCTACGGTACCTCAATGTGAAAAAAGCATGAATAGGTGTAGAATAAATCATGTTGTGCTTTGCTTGGCAGGATATGACAAAGTCCTGCCCATGCTGTGTTCATCTTAATAGTGTTCGGGCACAATTGCATCATATTGAGCCAGTGTCGTCTTGTATCAGACTGAGCTATTTTACACCTCTAAAGATGAATGAGTTTAAGATAAGAAATATTTCCATCCAAGCAAAATTTTGCGTATGTTTGAGGTTGAGTATGGAATTCTGTCTACTCATTTACAAACTTCAACTGTAGAAAGGGACCTATTTCAAATGGATAAACATTGTTTTATATTTAAATTTTCTAAAAGTATGAGATAATCAGTTTGATATAATTTGATTCAGATGCAAAAGTCAGAACACAATGTAAATACTTCACTACTCTCTTTCTTCACATCAATGACTAAGTAAAGGAGAGCTGGACAAACTAAAATATAAAGTAGCTCTAGGATTAGAGGGTTCTGGAAGTGCTGGCTTCATCAGACTCATCATCTCCTTCAGACTCAAGAGTCATCTTCAGAAGTGTTACCATCATCATAGGGGATTCTGGAAGACCTTGCTTCTTGAGACTCATCATCTGCTTCAGAGTAATCTTCATAAGTACTTGCTTCTTCAGACTCATTATCTCCTTTAGAAGAGTTATCATCATGGGGGACTTTGAACGTGCTTGCTGCACCGAACTTTTTATTATTATTATTATTATGTCCTTGAGAGTAAATCCTTAGCATTGTTATCAACACCAGTTTCAGAAGCTCAAGATCGGGACGAGTCACCGATACTTTTTGCCAGGCAGTTTGGAAAGGCAAGAAAGTTGACTTGACAGTAGGAGATTTCAATCTCAACCAAACCATCAAGTGGGATTTTTTTTCCATGGTGCTCCATCAATCCTCATGTTTACAACTTCAGCTGCACCCTCTATAAACTCGAAGCGAATTCACCGTACCTAAATTCAAGGGGAAAAAGCAAAATTAATCGTCTTTTGATACAAATGTAAGAGAAGATGCAAAGGGCAGTTTAAACATATGTTGAAGAGATATGACCAGATCAAGGCGACTGCAACATTCACTCTGAAGAAAAACATATTTGAAGCCAATAATTTCATGGCGTCCATCAGTCTGTTGGTATAAGATTGAGTTGTCAAACTTATATTGGTTCTGTTATCAATCTGTTGTTAATTAATCAGTTTTACAGCTGTTTTAGTATATTAATCAGTTTTCAAGCACACGCACACAAAAACAAAAACAAAAAAAAACAAAAAATACATCAGTTGTTGAAAAATATCAATAAAGTTTCACTGTTACATTTGTTTCATTTGTTCAGTGCTCTAGATTGGCCTCAGGTATCTGAACGCTGTGCAATTTGGACCGGCAATTTGGAGTGATGGATACTTTTTGCTTCGCAATTTGGACCGGCAAGAATGTTGACTTGGCCGTGGTAAGAGATTTCAATCTCAACCAATTCATCAGTAGGGATTTTAAACTTTGTTTCTCCATCATCAAAACTCATGCGCACAAACCCTCTTGCACCTTTTATAAACTCGAAGCGAATTCCTCGTACCTTTAAAAAAAAAAAAAAAAAAAAGTAGATATAAGTTTAGTAATCCTCTCTTTGAAATGGATGCTGCAATCTGAACAAATATCAATTCAAGATGTATGACCTGATCAAGGGAAGTCCGGATTACCATATAAGCGATGAGATCAAATTTGTAACCGATAACTTCGAGGCGTCCATCGTCTATGAAAGATGGGCTCTTGGGTGTCTGTAATTAACTCAATTTTAACATGGAAATGTTTTAGTAATTAATGGGTATATATGTAAGGGTGTCGCTATTTGAAAAACATTATTACTCACCACCTCTCTAATATGGATGGATCTCACATACAGTGGTGGATCCTCTTTTAGAGAGATAATCAGCAATGTGGTCGTACAAATGAAGGTTGGTGTTATTTGGACCACATTTACTGATCACATTACTGACAACCTCTTTAATACGATAGATCCCACATACACTGGTGGAGTCACCTCTCTATTAGAGGGATCCACATCCACTGATTTGAAGGAAAAAAATATTTGTAAAGGAAAATCAAATCAAATCCTAACAGAAAAAATCAATATAAAAAGTCCAGATTCCTATTAATGAGGTGATTTGGTGAATAAATATGGTATCAATAACATTAAATCTGATTGCAAATGCCAATCACAGAAACATTAACCAATGCATGCATATCTCACGAAAACAAAACACGTGTAAAGGAAGAAAAAGGAACCTCACTTTTTTATATTCCCTAGTGTCGTCCATGAACATATGATCTTCTCTTGGACGAAAGATAGGGAAGTTAAGACAATGAATTGAATTGGTGCTGTACATGTATACCAAAAGACATAAAATTAGAGTACGCGTAAGTTTGCGCATGTGCAAGTGTGTGAATGATATATATATGCATAAATGTAAAGTAATCAAAACGTAGCCAATGAAGGGTATAACTCAGGTGGTTTTGCTCTTTCATTTTTATCCATATGGACAGAGGTTAAACTCTCAGAGACCCATATGAAAAACATCAATGTCACTTGTATTAAGGAAACAAAAAAGTTTAACTTGCATACTAATGGAGGTCTTAGGTTTAAATTTTTATGGCATTTTCACACTGTTGCTTTGCTTATATATAAAAACAAAAACAAAAAATAAGAAATGATGACTTGAAAACAACAGAAATTCCCGATGTACAGAGAGAATTGCCCTTTTGGTGCTTTTGACACCAACAGAATCAAGTTTTATGAAAAATTAGTTATCAAACTAGGGTTAAAGAGAGAGAAAAAATGACAGAAAGATGTGCCAAAATGAAAGTGCCATTTTCCTCTTTTTTTTTTTCTTTTTTTTTTCCTTTCCATTTAATCATACAACAAATAGTGAGATGAAAGAGAGAGTGCAAGCAAGGTTTTCATCAAACATTTTAAAGAAGTAAAAGCACACAACAGAAAAATGATATCATCTATGAGGGAGCAATAAAAGAAGTTGAGTGTAAATTCCACAATTATTACGTACCTTTCAGGAATGTGAAGCATTTCCCATTGACCAAGATGATTCAACACCTTTACTATTGCAAATAAGTTTAGGTCATCGCTGTTAGGGAAAACAAAAGTATAAAGTACTAAAAGAAGAATATGTAGTTGGCTTATATTTTCACAAATGTTCTGAGGTTTACGAAATTATCACATTTGATACGTTATGAAATTACTCCATGTACATAAAATTGATTCCTACCGTGAGATTCCATAAAGATTCTATTAAATTGATGATATGGCATGTATGTGGAGCCATGTGTCCAATAATAGCATGCCATATGGATCTAAATAAAAAATTATTTTGAAAATATTTAAAAAATAAAAATTCAATAAAACATAGAAAACTTAAATTTAAAATTTGTAAAAATAAAAATAAAATAAAAACTGTTGACTCCCCCTCCCCGTGCCTCGTCCCATCCTGCATTCCCCCTCCCCCTTTCCCTGACACACACTCTCTAGCTCAAATTAAATAAATATAAAACAGCTGGTGGATCAGTTACACATTGTTATTTTGCTGATAAGGAAAAATAACATTCCAGTACCAAAAATCCCTAAAAAGTAGGATCTCCATCGCATAAGGAACTTCTGTAACAACAAAATTCTTGTAGTACAGGAGGATTGTTATTTTCTTCTCTATGATTTGGGTTCCACATCATCAGTTTAATAGAATACTTGACAGTATGAATGATTAGTAATTTTCTTCTCGAGGTATGAATGTATGTGAGTAACCTTAAGGACTAATTATGTCACACAAAAAAAAAAACTAAAGATGATAATTTCGTGAACGTCAAAGACCTTTTGTGAAAATAAGCCTATATAATTTAATATCAAATTACCAGGATTGGATACCAATAATTAGTAATTTCATATGCATACAGGGTTATTTATAACAACATGGTGAATAATTTAGCTTGGATGTGAAAGCCTGAAGCTCATTTACCTTGAAGGCTCATCGTTGTGGACTTAAATATCGGCCATTTCGAAAATATTAGTAGTCCCCAAATGTAGAGATTCCGACGAAAATATGAATAAAAAAATATAAATTGTCAGAAAATTATGGAACTTCGAATGAAACTTTGAGTCATGTTTATAAAACTAAATGTAAGTGAGATGCAATTTGAGCCATCCAAAGTGCTAAAATCCAACTTTCTATAGCATGTGTCGAAAAGTGTCAAAAAATGTGTCCCTCTAATTCTGACCCATTAATTAATGCATGAAAAATATGGAAATGAAATGATAACATGAGTATTAAAAAAAAAAAATTCAAATGAATTTGGGCACGTAACGAAGAAAAGAAATTAAAGTTTAAACAAGGGTGAAATTCTTTACCAGACAACCTGAAGTAGTACCAAAATCGTCCGTATAATGTTGGATTATCCTAAGAAATGTATAAGAATTGAGGAATTAATATTATCTTAAGATAAGAAGTGGTACTATGGAAGGAGAGATAAGAATGAATGAAGACACCAATTGCAAGAAAAGGGAGAACATGATCATCCGAATATTCAGTACTCAAAGGTTATCGTAAAAGTGAAGTGATAGGTCCATTGAGATTGGAGATAGGAGATTCTTACCGCTTTTCCCACATCTCCAACCTCATGCAAATAATGTGGTAATCGGTCCATAAAAGAAGAACATGGTTTTTCTTGTTGACTTGTAGAAGATTGAGTGTGTTTCATCTTAATGAAACAAAGCCAGCTGAAAATCCAATAAAAGAATAAAATAAGATTACAACTACAATAAATTAATGCAACATATATAAGACAGATTAATTTACCCATTAATTCTTGCTATCTTACTATGAAAAGTTAACTTCTTTGAAAAATGATATTCACTTGCATACCGATGGTTTTAAGTTCAAACTCTCATGGCACATAATTAGTAATGTGTGTGTGAGAAACCTTTTTTGTTTTTGTTTTTTTGTTAGCCATACGACAGATAATTAAAGAGTTAGCCATACGACATCTAAATCGAATACCTGTCAATTCTCCACGATTTTACCAGTGCTACGTAAACAAGGAACAATCGCAGCGGTAATATATTCAAAATGTCCTTCTGGAAGTAGTCAAGCAGGCAACATGCATAAATAATAGAGAGATGCATCAATTGCCTGCCAACCTAGTAAGTAACAGCAGAATCATACATGTACATGTTGTAATTAAAATGGAAATTTAAAAGCCTCTACTCATACTCATTTTTTCCATGAAAAACAAAGACGTACAAAGGGATGGTACATATATATATATGTGTCATGAAAACGGAAGAAAATAAAATAGTAAATGTGGATCCCTTCAAACTAATGTTTTCTTTTTTACAACTAACCGTCTTATTTTTCTACGAAGAAAACCCAATTTATTATAAGTAAAACCCGATAACTAAGATCTAACTCAGCAAGTTACCTATTTTAGTTTAAAATTTGATTGATTATACTTTTTATATTCCAAAAATACCCTAATTAGAATTTACCCTATTATATGGTTGTATTAAATGTTAGTTCCTTAATTTATTGTATTGATTTCTTTCCTCCTAAATTTGAAATTTATTACAAATTTGACTAACCATTGTTTTAAATTTCAAAATGTTTGGCACATGAGAAAAATTTGCCTGGCACGGGGACGCCAAGGTAAGCATTCTACCTCAGTGTCCCTAGCCAATTACTTCCTGACAGTTGGATACCACTGCCAATTCTTCTCTCTCTTCAATTCCCACCGACTCTCTCTCATTCCTCCCTCTCTCTCTCTCTCTCTCTCTCTCTCAGCAACTTAGATCTTGAGGAGACAGCAGATAAATTTGTTCTCCACCAACCGTACCCTGTTCTTCCACAGACCCGAAGCCAACTCAAAGTCCACCATTTCCAAAATTTTCAGAATTCCCCAATAAATAACTCAAATAAAATAAAAGATAAAAAGGAGAGAAATCAATATCTAGTGTGTGGGTGATGAATGATGAGTTATTGAAGAGGAAAAGAGGAAGGGATGGGTGGGTGATGATGATGATGGAGGAGGAGTGATTTGATGAAGAACAAGGAATGGAAGAGAGAGAACGGGGAATGGGGGATAGAGAGGGAGTGAGCCGGTGAGAAGGACAAAGACGATGCCGACGACGATGGAGGAGGGCAGAGTGACGCGGAATATGGAGGATGGTGGTCGACGTTGACGTCGAGGCCGGCTGCTGTGGCGGATAGCAGGGGTCGGCAACAGGCAATTGGCCAATATTAAATAGTTATTAAAAAGACGTTTCAATATTAAATAGTAGCCAATTAAAAAGAATTAAATATAAATGCTAAACGCCCCACCCATCCAAACGAAGCAGCGATTCCATATTGGTAGGTGTCGAGGATCCAGAGCGGATTTTCTGTTAAAGTCGGTGGTGGTACCGGAGCAATGGAGGGTGACTCTGGCAATTTAAGATCACAGATAACTCCCAAAATCCAATTTACAAACTCATCCTGGCCAACAACCTGAGATATATAATGTCAAATTAAAAAAACATATTAAAAATGTTATTTAGAAAAGTGTAGACTACGCTTTAGCAAATCGTATTAATTTAATATGTTACTTACTATAATTCTCATCTTCTTTTGAATTTCAGAAGCAAAATCATAATAACCATTTTGCTTAAGCTTTTCTAGAGTACCATAAACATCCTTTAGCACCGTCTCAGGATTATTATACGTCTTTGCTTTTTTCAGTAGGGCACCAAAAACCTAGAAAATAAAAGAAAACAATACAATATTAATTAGAGCTTTAATTATACATAAACTATGTTCAATGAGAAAAATACCTGCTCTTTAGTAAGGAGGTCGCAAAATTTCCCAATAAGTTCTTCTCCTTGTTGTCTATTGGACATATCAATAAACACCAACACTGGGGATTTTTTTATATGGAAGGAATAAGGTAAGTCCTCAGATTTGTGGTGGGGCGGAGAAGTCCTCCTGCATGGGACATTCATATTGGTACGTAAATAATTCAAAAGACAGACGATACCAAAATAAGGGAGTAAGTAAAGTACTGTATGTATAATTAAGTTGAGAATAATACTCAAAATTTTGGGAGTTTTGGGACATGATTTCTGCGAGTGTCCTAGCGGCCAATGGTAGACCATAACATAGATCCTTAATTTCATTCTGAACCTTTTCCAAATGTTGTTGATAACCAAAAGCAGTGTCCTGATATATATTCCAGCAGCTTTCTCTGTCCAAAGGCTCAAGAGAAATAATCAAACTCTTATAATGTTTATCTGACCCCTGCGCCGGTACCACCATAGTTTCAACCACTTCCGGTATCCTACTAGTGACGATGATGGCACCACCACTACCCTTAGGCAATCCGTGCGATAAGCGATCCCCAACTTTCTTATCACCTTCCTGAACCTCAAGTACTTGTCCTAAATCCGAGTAGAAATCGTTCATGTGCCACACATCATCCAACACAATCAAATAACTTTTACCTGATAAATGTTGGCTGAGCCTTTCCGAGAGCGCAGCAAGGAGATGACCAGAATTATTACTACTTATTGTCTTCTCCTCCTCCTGGATGATGGCATCTCCGTCGGCAACGGCATCATGGTCCAACTTACTAAGCATACATTTCACAATGCTGACCTCAATTTCTTCTTCTACTTGTTTATTTTCTTTGATTATATTCGACAAGCATAACCAAATTATAGGAGAAAATTTTCCTAGCACCATCCACCAACTCAAAACCTCGCGCACCAGAGTGGTCTTACCCACGCCTGCCATGCCCACTATCCCAACTGCCGCAAATCCAGCACCTGATGACGGCGATGATTTTAAAAGAAAGTTCCCAATCTTCAGTAATTGCTCATCAAATCCCACAACTTCAGCCTCCACTACAGGTAGTTCGATCTCTGAATTCTCTTCAGGATCATCAGGACGACTTGATGATTCCCTCAAGTTATAAATTATTTCTTCCTTTTTCATAAACTCAGCCTCGAAGATGCGTTTTATTGCAGCCAGCCGCTTCTTCATCTTCCGCACGAAACAAATCTTCCTCAAACTCAAATGGTTGAAGACTACTAAATGAGTCCTGTGATGACTATGCTTCTTCCACTCATGTGAGAAGACCTGGCACTTGGTCAATGCGTCGATGAGGTCCAGGAGCACAGAGATAAAGAGACAGTAGTAATCTCCCGTAAGTCTTCGAGTATCTATAGCTATTACAATATCTTTGATTGCTCCCAAATCAGAAATGAGAACAGCACCTGATAATTCAGACTCTGTCTCGCTAAGAGATGCCAGGAACTTATTCCGGAGAAATTGAGCAACATCCCCTGCCATTCTTCCCCTTCAACACTATATTTATGTATCTACTGCAATTTTAATCAGAAACTGGGGGGAGTAATATGAAGAGCACGTAACCACACCTTGGCCTTTGTTCAGCGCTTTGATCAAAGGACCTGGATCTGTTATTGGAACAAAACAGATTCTCTCACCCACGTTATTCATATGCTCAGCATCAAATAACTGTTTAAAAGTAGAATGAGCCGCTAGGGGAATCATATATGTTTTTCGTTAGCCATAGTTCTTTGCTTGCATGAGTATAATGAGCTTTTTCTTTTCTTTTTCCCTTTTTAAGTGTTCGGTTTTTGTTAATCAGTTTCGGTTATTCCAATTACAGGTAGCACTTTGTGAAGGTACAACTAGTATTATAATTATACGAAGATGACGAAGCTTGTGTATTATCATACTTCTATCGGTGAATAAGAAACTGTCACATTATTAGTTGGCAATAAAAAGTTTGTGTCTCTAGTAGAAGCACGAATTTTTCTTTTAATTTTTTGAGTTTCAGCTATAAAACCGAACCGAGGAGTTTAACCATACTTACCGAATATTTTGTTGTTTAAATAAAACATATATTTTGCCATGTTATCCTGGTCCTTCACACACCGTCTTATGTTCATTGAGATTAAGACTGATCGAAAAGAATGGGGAATCATATATATTTTTCTTTTTATCATTCTTCTTTGCTTCCAGGACTACCAAGGAGTATATGTAATGAGCCTTTTCTTTTCTCTTCTCCTTTTCTTTTGTGTTTGCTTCCAGGACTACACTCATATGTGATGCCTGTAGGGATAAATAAGAAACTATCGGTAACAAATTTTTTGTCTCAACAAGTCCTGCACATGTGGTGGACTTTTAAGCCTAACACATAGAATATATATTGGGTGACGTGGGAGCACGAGTGGCCGTTGAGCCCAACATGTGAAGCCTTGCTTTGATACAATGAAGGAAGTTGAGGTTCTACCTCAAAACCAATTGGTAATTGGGGAGTAGCCCAACTCCTTATAAACTCACGTTCGGTCCCTTAATTTTTTAATGTGGAACAAACATTCTCAACAAATATTACAATTCTTAAATAAAACATATCTTTCGACATGTTACTCTGCTGGTCATTCGCACACCATCTTCTTTATGCTCATTGAGATTAAGATTAATTGACATTGAATAATTGTTTAAAGAGAGTGGGGAATTATATATATTTCTTTTGCCATTGTTCTTTCCTTCCAGGACTACCAGGGAGTATAATGAGCTTTTTCTTTTGTCCTTTATTTTTTTATTTCTTTGGACATGTTACCCTACTCTTGCACCACCCATCTTCTCTATGCTCAATCAGATAATTGTTTAAAAGATTAAGTGTGGAATAATATATATTTTCTTTTGCCATTGTTCTTTGCTTCTAGGACTATTAAGGAGTATAATGAGCTTTTTTTCCTTTCTCTTTTTCTTTTTTTATTTTAGTGTTACTTTTTTGAGCTCTGATTGTTAGCTAAGAGTCATTATTGTATTTCTTTAAAAAATGTGATATTTCTTTTTTTATTTTAGTGTTACTTTTTTGAGCTCTGATTGTTAGCCAAGAGTCATTATTGTATTTCTTTAAAAAAGATGATCTTACGGTGATTGTTAATTCTATTATCTTATTTGTTTTTTTAAAAGAAAAATGGATGGTAAGTTAGTTCTAGAGGACTCACTAATCTGCAACAAATGGATGGTAAGTTAGTTTGTATAATAAATTCATGTGATTTACTTATTGTTGTTGTTGTTGAGGTAAACATATATCACTTGAATAATAAAGAGGCAGACATGATAGGTTTGATTGCATCAATCTCTTGAGTTCCACAGCTACCCTCAATCTATATGCAACAGGCTACCTCATTTTCAGTGTAATTGCATCTGAAATGAGAAATGTCACCTCAACCTCAAGAAATGCAGAGAAGTTCCTGCCCAAGTTATTGGATCGTCTGGGAAAAGCCAAAGCCAAGGCCGTTGCACACATAAAGCCAGGTGATGATCAGGAAGTGGTTCTGAGTCGCTTCAAAAAGATTGAAGATGAGCTTCAACGAATGGAAGACTTAAAATTGCTACCTAGAGTTACACTCTGGGAGCACACTCTGTTCAGCCAATTCACTGTCTTAGAACGTCTAGTTGACAAGTTGTTCTTGGGAGATGATGAGAGCAATCCTTTCAACAGCCTGGAGGCAATCACCGACCAAATAAAAGCCTCAATCTCTTTAGTGCAGTTACCGAGCTACCCTGAACGCAGTTTAGAGTTTACGCATCGGTCTCAGCCGGAGTCGAGTCTAACAGCAGTTAAGAAGCTATCAAAAGAGTTGTCACAAAAGGGCTTGGAGAAAGGAATTTACGAAAGCCGTGCCATGGCTAATCTGAGGAGGAGTTACGAACATCTTGAGGGCACCGAGTTGAGGCTCTGCTTCCTCTCTTTCTCAATCTTCCCTGAGGAGTCGGTGATAAAGAAAAGGCCTCTAATTTACTGGTGGATTGGGGAGGGCTTCATCACGGCCACCCAAGATAAGACGGCCGAAGAGGTAGGAGAAGAAATCTTTGGCAAACTCATGAAACAGGGCTTGATTCAACCACATGGAAATGTTAATTTATCCACTAGTTGCACGCTGCACCCTTGGATTCGTTGTATGCTGATAGGCTTGGCCAGGGACGCTCTGCTCTTCCACTTTGATTCAGACTGGCCTTGGATGCCATCATGTCAAGTATCATTGTGCAGGCGCGCGTGCTTAGTTTTTGATCAGAACCAGACTTCTCCGGGTGAGGAAGATCTGTTTACAGTATTCAATGTGAACAGCAACTATCTTAGCTTCAAACGTGAATGGCTTAGCAAGTTGAAGAAAGTAGTTGTTCTTCAGCTGGGACGGTGGCAGAGCTCACCCATGCATCACATTGAAGTGGATGATGAAGGATTATTTTTGAAAGGTATTGGGGCTCAGCACTACTTGAGCTTTAAGTATCTTAGTCTCCGAGGAATATCAGGAATAACACGGATCCCTTCTTGTATCTTTAACATCATCAGCCTTGAAATTCTGGATCTGAGAGCATGCCACAATTTAGAGACATTGCCTTCAGATATCTCATCGTTGAGGAAGCTCACTCATTTGGATATATCAGAGTGTTACTTGCTAGAAGGCATGCCGAAAGGGATCGGCAAACTCTCTTCCCTCCAAGTACTTAAAGGTTTTCTCATAGCCAATTTGATAAATACTCCCTCAAGACTCGGTGACCTTGCCAAGTTGAAGAAACTAAGGCGGCTAAGTATATACATAGGGAATGAGGCCGTAATGCATGACAACGAGTTTGAAACTTTGAAGGAAATTTCATCTCTTCGCCGCCTCAAAATATCATGGGCAGTGGTTTCTCCAGAGTCAAGAGGAAAAATTGCCCATCAGTCCCTGGATTTCTCATTCCCACCGGATTTGGAAAAATTGGATCTGCAAGGCATCCCTCTAAAAGAAGTACCTCCATGGCTGAATCCGAGGCAACTGACAAATATAAAGAAGCTCTACATAAGAGGCGGGGAACTTTGTAGCTTAGACCATGCAGGGGAGGAGACTGTCACCGACTGTAAGTGGAGGGTGGAAATCTTGCGTCTCAAGTACTTGAGTAACATGAAAATAGAACTTACAGAGGTGGAGGTTCAGTTTCCTCATCTGTTGTACTTGGAGAAAGTCAAATGCCATGAGATTGAAAAGGACAAATATGAGAAAAACATATTTTGGAGCAAATCTCAAGGTCAGAAATTAAGCAAGTAAGTTAACGCCTCGATAAAGTTAGTCCTCTGTATCTAGTTCATGTCTGCAGCATGTTATAATTAACTGCATGCCCTATTGTTATTGTATGCATACATCAACCCCTCTGCAATATGCAAGAACAGGGGAGTTTTCCAACCCCACTCCTTTTCTTAAATAATTAAATTTATATGCGGATTTTATTTTTATTATGAAATTTAAGCCCCTCTTTATACAGCTGTTGATAAATGTAGCAGGGCTTAGTCAAGGTGGAATGATTTGGCATCTCAATGAAAGCAATCCAACTGTGCCTCGCCGGGGACCAAGAAACACTATTTCAGTTGGCTTCAAATACGTTAATTGTATTCGTTTGTTCGGTTCTTGTTTAATAGTGAAGAATTAATTCTCTAACGACAATTAGTGTTGTTGTTATGCGAAGGAGTTATTAAAAATAATAATTCTCTAATCATCATTCTTTTTCGAAAGAAAATTGCTAGCATTCTCCTTAATATAGTATCCGATCGAATTGTCATTTCTAGTGATTTCAAGTTGAAATCCTCCGATCCTCTCGTGCTCTGGGGACTTGTCTTTTATTGAATAATAATTGGTCTGGGGACATGTCTTTTATTGAATAATAATTGGTTTTGTGTTGTGTTAGAGCATTTCAAAGGGAGATGTCAAATATCAAACATCAAATTTAAATTTGGTGACTGATGTGGCAATTTGACATTTACACAGTTTTACATTCCACCCGATATGTCAAATAAATAATTATTGTAACAGTCAAATCATTTAAGATAAAAAATAAAAATAATAAAAAAAGGAAAATAATAAATGAAAGTAACAGCCAGCTATTTTTTTAAAATAATAAAATATTCATTTGACATCTTGCTTTTGGGATATCAAAAATAACATCTCAACCTCCAGCCTTCATTCCACATCAGCTTTGACACATCGCTTAGAGAGATGTGATATGTTATTTCTAGCCGTTAAATATCTATGTGGTACTTTTGACACATCAGTTAGAGATGCTCTTGCCGAATTGTCATGGTCTTTTTTTATAAAGTGAAGATATATATATATATATTTTTTAAAGAACGAAATTCACTAAAGAAACTAGAGCAAATTACAATCATTTTATAGGGCATCATGATGACAGCATGGGGCCACTCATTCCAGTCAACCAAACCATCAACAGAAAGAGAAACTTTAGCCAAACGATGAGCAACATCACTGCAGTAGATA